GTTGTTTCTGTGGGGATGGAGCTTTTCCAAGCTTCTTTTCAGGTTAGTACGGCCATTAGCGTACGCTGACAAAAACTTTTCTTTCCGACATCTATGGTTTCCTCAATACAGCATGGTTGTCCCTCCGTTCCGTTCTATTTCGGCTGCGCTACTCCTATTTCCAATTCGAAATATTACTGACACCAGTTGGCCTGTTTGACATAAACATATTCCGGCTTAGACAATACCGTTAACTCATTCTTTCTCTCATAGATAACTAACTAGGAGGCATAATTTAACAAGGCTACAAAGATATGCTACAACGGCACTGCTAATTTATGGGGAGTGAATCGGCCATCTCTCGTCGTTTACTGAACTTACGGTATCATTCCGATATGATACAAGTCCTGGTTACATTATGCAATGTCAGAGGTTTTGGTTTATTCTTTGTTATATGAAATAAAATAAGATTTTGCAAAACGGTGTTCATTGATAGCGCGTTTCAAGCGCTGAAAATTCACGTTAAACTTAATGACAGAGCTATTAAGCTTATTGTGCTAATTGTATAATACAGATGGTGCATTTCGTCTCCGGCATTCTTCCTTGACTGCAACTGTTTCCATGAGGCTTATATGATGGGGCCGCTCTCTGATACCAAAGCGTCACACAGTTTGCATAGAAATTCTCCATACACCTAATTTGGAAACCTCTTCAAGAACTAACGAATTACCCATGTCGTTTCAGGCAAACAGCGTTAAAGTACCTTACTTAAGGCTAAAATGAAAGGTGAAGCAGTCTGATCTGTTCATCAAACGCGCGATAAAGTATTGAAAGAGCGCCTCAGTCATCTAGATACTAGTGCTATGAATCAACGAGGTCTAGTTAAAATAATTTCTCGACTCGTGAGAACGACAATTTTTTCTTTTCCCCGAGGTGTGCACTTTCAGCACTAGTCTGAGGTATGATTTTCTCATCGCGGCGACTGTTCCATGAATAGGGAAAGATACAATTTAGCTTCTGTAAGTCTCTAACGGAGGTTGATTAATTTTATGCTTCAAGACCCCACCCCCTTATAACTCGATTATGCCTCTCAAGAGAATGGTACTGGATCTACGGGATGACAAATAAAAGGTAATTTAAAGTTAAGCTTCTCAGCTTCGGCTTTATAAA